AGATAACAATAAGATAAATATAGAAAGATAAGTAATACGAGAAAGAAAAAGAAGAAAATAGAAAGAGATAGAAAGAAATAGAATATTATCGAACTAAATACGTAATCCAAATATCATTATGACTAATTTTTATTGTAACTGCATCTTCTGTTCATGTGTTTTTTATATTAAATTATAGTTGATATTGAATCGGTGACAATACTAAATTTTATCTTGAAAATAATATTGATCAATTATTTTTCTTTATTTTTTTGTTAATTTAATATTTTTATTATAATAATTTCTTTTTAATTTTGTCTTGGACAGGTATTCTTTAAATTTTTTAAATAAATCTTTAGTTTCTTTTTCATAAAGATTATAATATAAATTATTTCAAAAATATTAATAAATATTATATAAATCAGTTCTTAAACTTATAATTTGAATATTTTGTATCAGTTAATATCACAATTTTCTGAAAAAATTATATTTTAACTTTGCTGTCAAGCGTAAATTCCGTTCAAGAAAGATCACCAACAGTCCGTTACGGCAGAGTTGGCATTTTGGTCATTTTGGCTGATGATCATCAGCCAAAATTACCCAATGTAGCAAATTAATTTCTTTTTTCGGTAATTCTGACTGGTGATCATCAACCAAAATAGCCAAAATGCACGTTACGGTATTTCCTAAGCACCGGGGAAGGTCCCGTGGTGAATACACGTTTCTCTGCAAGGTCAAGACAGCAGAACCTCTCCCAGAAAAGCCTGAATATGGTAGCTGTCTTGTGATGACACATATTGGTGATTTTCCAGGCGCTTGAGGTGCGAGCCAAGCCCTGCATTCTCTGAAGCACAAGAAGGATGGAGGCAATAGCACTGGATCCAGGCGTGCATACATTCATGACAAGTTACGATCCGAATGAACTGGTTGTGGAATGGGGTGAAGTAAACGCGCAACTAGCCATTAAGCATAAACGTTATAAACTTCGTCGTGCCATGCTACGGATTCAAAAGAAGATTCGTAGTCTTGTGGATGACTGCTATCATAAACTCTCCAAATGACTGTGAGAAAATTATTGCATGGTGCTGCTTCCTGGCCGCGGGCATCGACGTATCGGCCAGAGCCATGTCACATTATCGTTTCTGTCAGTGCTTGCTTCACAAAGTCCACCTGGTGCCAAGTAATTTTATGCATGGAGGAGTACACCAAAACCTGTGGTCACTGTGGTCAGATCAAACGTCTTTCGTTGCTCAAAATACCATTCCGAGCTTGACAAAGATTTCACGTTGACGCTGGACCTACCCTCTGGGACCTTAATCAGGACTTGTACACTTTGGATTTCGAATGTATAGGTTTAATTGTAGGTCGTAAATATTATAAATGCAAAGGTAATATGTAGAGATAATTATGCCTGATAACGTACTCTTGTATAATTTATCAGTCATTGAATAAAATATCCCGGTTCTGCTTTTTCACTTTCGGTCTTTATTTTCTCGCCCAAAAATACATGTAACAATTTGAATACCCCTTTATCTCTAAACTCTGGCGTGCACAAAATATCTTTTTCAGATTAATTTGTCTACAGTCGTGTTTTGTTACTACGCAATACACACATAAAATTATAATACAATCAAATCAAGCAGTAAATAATGGAAAATCACTGTTGTGATATTTGAAATTCCCCTTTTTTTTCGAACTTATTTGACGGAATATGTGTATGATGCGATGTACACATGTATGAGACGTCGCGGTCTTGAAGCACTTTAGGTTTAAACTATGAACAGGTTATTCCATTCACAAAAAGAAATATAATGGATTCAGTAATGACCTGGCCTGGCTAAGTCACAAGCAGAGCAGGTAAAGGTCGAGTTTTTGTATTTCTTATAGGTTTATTTTCCAAAGAATCAACTTTCTGATAGTTTGGATACTTTAATTCAATTTAGAATTCAGTGAGAAATATTCAAAGCAAATCTTCACTTTCAGAAAATGTGTAGCAACGTTAATGTAGATCCATTAGCATGTTAATTTATTAATAACAAGTTTTTATATTGAATCAGTAAATAAAGGATTCGAACTCTTAGGTGTCAGTAATAAATCATAGATGTGTGTTTATCCACCAGAGTAGCAGGAAAACACATTTTCCAACTGGGGGGGGATATATATTAAATTACCTATCCCATTATTTTTAGCAATATTAAAAAGAATAACACTAAACACACAGTATTTATTTCATGTGTCTGTGTGTGTGTGTTTCATTCTTTCTTTTGACGCAATGGCTCTTTCATATCCTCCCTGAAAGCAGTCACAATAAAAGATACAACAACAAGATTTGCAACTAAGACAGCAGCAATAGCAGCTTTTGTTGTATTATTTTCGCCTAATCAAAGACATAAATCATTCATTAAATTGATTGATTGATTTAGATTAAGTGAAAAGATTCTATGAAAAAGGAAAAACAGCCAAACCAACCTTGAAAATAATAGTGTGCCGAGAGAAAGTATGTGGCTATTGGTAGGATTACCATAAACAAGGTGTGTAGGTAAAGTTTAAAAACTACGTGCCTTTGAAGAATTACTAAAGTCTATATATAGTATAAACTCGTCGCCAAATGACTTTGTAATGCAATTCTTGTTTCTTAAGAGGAAATCCTACCTTGGTACTTCGGAGCCCTTTAGTTGACCTATAGTGCGGGAATCTGACATTGAAAATAGATTTTTACAGTTAAATTTTTTAGATTAGATACGAGAACACCATTATTTACATCTATCTGTGTTTTCTGGTTGACCTTATTGGATGGAATCAACGCGTGAATGAAAATCACGTTGAATAAATATCTACCAATAATGTAACTCCGCGTAAAAAAGTCAAACTATCTTTTAGGTCGCATTTACTTGACCCAGATGCGACTTTTCTCAATATTTTCCTTAGTGTGCACTACAGTGCTCATAGTTTGCACTGCAGTTTTTTCTTCCTCGGCTATTATCATTCCCACACCGGTTAACATCCCTCAACACTGGTTGAACAATAATATTTTGCGTACTATAGATTTAACGTCGCCCATCGTGCGAGAAACTACCGTAATAATTGCACAAAATGTTCACAATGATTTAGTTGGCGAGTATCATTTTCCTGTTAAAGAAAAATTGGATAAAAATTTAGCATGGATCGAAGCAAAAGAACGGAAAACTGATATAGTATTCGATGTGGAGAAAGTAGAGTTTGATTCGATAAAGTAGGCGAATTCATCTTGTGTAGCTTTATGAATCATATCAAAGTTATTTATTATATTATTATTATTATTAAATCCAAATTGGTAGTCATATCCAGTACTATAAAATTACATTTGATCGTCGTGTCGAGCCTCAGGAGAAAATCACTTTAATAATCAAAACCGTTTTCACTCATATTTTAACTCCCGTGCCGTACGAAATACCGCAAACCGGACGTCAATATTTAGTATATGAGGGAAGTCAATATGCTAATAGTGCATATTTATCAGAAAAGCAAAAGACCAATATCAAGTGAGTGAAGTCACTATGAATTTTATTTATTGGCCTTTCAATGGAAAATTCTTTTACTACCGTTAACTGACAATTGTATTGAATTTAGACTCGCATTTAGCACTTTGATGAGTTATACGCAAAGAGAGAATAAGGTTAATCGTAATGAGAAATTAATAACATATGGATTTTACAATAATATTGCACCTGATGCTTACGACGAACTCAAAGTGCATTACGGATTCCAAAGACCTATTTTTACAGTGAAAAGGTTTAGACGTGATCTGGAAGTTAGCCATTGGGGTGGGAATTTAGCTATCGAGGAACACATTGATTTAAAACACGACGGGGCAAAGTGAGCGCAGCGCATTCATTGTCATTTTAAAGCAATTAAACTATTTTTATTCGAAAAAAAACTAACTTTCCCATTGTCGTCTGTTAAATACAGACTTAAAGGACAATTTTCTCGTTTGGAGTATCAACAAACGAGTCTATATGGACACCAAGATAGCACTGCGGCACGCGATCTTCAGTTATTATTGCCTCCGCGGGCATCCGATGTGTATTATCGGGATGAAGTTGGAAATGTTTCGACATCCACATTTAGAAATGAGCGCGATAGGTCTGTATTAGATTTTAAGCCACGTTATCCGTTGTTCGGCGGATGGAATTACACTTGGAATCATGGATATAATGTCCCATTAAGCGATTTTGTTCGATATCACCCAAAAAGTGACCGATACATATTGAATGTGCCATTTCTTCGCGCGTTTACTCAAACAATGTATGATAAAGTACAAGTTCGCGTAATGTTACCCGAGGGTGCAAAGTAAGTGACTCCTTAATTTTGGTCAGCAACACGAAATATTCACACGCAGCTTATCTTCATTTACATTATCTAATACGGTTTAATCTCATCTATGTAATTTGTATATATTTAGAAATGTAAAAGTAGATATTCCCTTTAGTCTAGACAAATTAACACATGGCGTATTCAAGACGAATCTCGACACGACAGGTCGATATTTGGTGGTACTAGAGAAAACCAATGTAGTGGATGAACATTTTGAAAATTTCCAGATTTCTTACACATATGATAATCTGGAATTACTACGAAAACCTTTTGTGGTATCAGGTTTCTTCTTTGCAGGGTTTTTATCGAGTATTGTTTATTCAAGAATGGAATTCAAGATCACCAAAAAAACATAATAATAGTAACACAAAGTTTTTAGATTAAACAAAAAACCATTTAGACTTTCATTGTTAAAGTAGTACAAGTAATGATAACGGTAGATCAACGTGCATCCCACGATGCTAATATGCTAATCTGTAATAAGTATCAATATAATAAATTTTTTCACACCCATTTTTTTTTGTAATTCATTTTGTGTTAGTCTATATAGATAACGATGTTTATATATTACGTTAACCTCGCAAATAAGCAGTAATTATTATTTAGACTAAAAAAGAGTTCTTTTATGGTATTCGTTGAAAAATAAAGTATTAAAAAAATAACTTTTGGTTATTGGTGGCCGTAAAATCTTTGTCGTCGCTCTCTTGGCTTTATCTTTGAAGTGTAAATTATTAGCTCTTTAACATACATTTAATAAGACAGCTGTTTGAATTATTGGAGAGCCTTGGGCTTTAGATCTTAATTGCATCTGTATATATTCTTATAGCTCGACATGGTAAAGTTTTATCAGCATACAGGGACATATGAGTGAGTATTTATTTTTGTATATAAGTAGGGCGAGAAGATAATTTGAGCGAGAATTTGTAATGTGATTATTTCTCGTTTGTTAGCCTGGTGAATTCATTCAATTAATCCATCCATTAACATTCATAATCATAATTAATTGACTTGGCTCCATTTATCTTTATGTAGTGCCCCTTGGGACATTGTGACGCTTGCATTTTGGATGCGCTATCCAAACCCGTTCGCGTCGCATGTTTTGAGTGTTGATGTAATTGATCGCCATGTGGATCCTACTTCTGGTATGTTACGAACTACGCGACTAATTTTGAAAAAAGGCAAAGTTCCAAGTTGGGGGATAGGGGTAAGTGCTATTTTATTTATCAATGTGTAAAAATAATAAAGTTGTGATCAATTCGAAATCTCGTTATTTAAATTTTTTATTGTTTATATAAAAAAGCAACTTAATAACAAAATGCCTCGTAATTTTTCTGACAGTTAATCAGAACTCCAGAAGCTTATATACTCGAAGAATCTATTGTCGATCCTCACACCAAAACAATGATAACACGCACAAAGAATATTACTCACGTTCGTAAGATGCAAGTGGAGGAATGGCAAACGTTCCGTGTAGATTCACAGAATAATGAGTGCACAAAAGTCAAGATAGAAGCAAAGATTATCAGTAAATTTGGATGGAGTCCTCTGTCGGAACGTATTGAAGGGTTCGGGCTTAAAAAATTTGCGGATAATACGGCTACGGTGTGTATATTTGCTATTATAGTTATTGCTATCTATATATAACATGTAGGCCATTAAAAATATAATATCTGATTATCATTCTTTTGATGCGTTTTCAATATATTCGTAATTTTCAATATGATCGGAATATTAGAGTCGCATGGGGATGTCTCACGTCTTGGAAATGATTCGAGAGAATCAACGATTGCGTTCTCGACGAGGATTCATGTCTGCCTGATGTCGGCTACTGATTAATAAAGAAAAACCCAGTCTGTTATAATAATAATTGTAAAACACAAACAAATAGACGATGGTAAACTCTCCACTCTCTATAACGATTACAGCTTTAGACTCTTCATCTGCTCAATACGTAATAGCAGGCAGATATGATTTTCTTGCTATTAATTATATATATGTTCATATAACATAGCTATGCTTTTTGGAAGATTGTTTGGACGTCATTTTTCTTTTTCTTAAAAAGTGCTTCTATTATTATTACTCTACTTAATAGTTACTCTTACTATTACATGGAGTTCATATGATAATATGCTATTTTTAAAGATTTAGTATTATCTAATTAATTCTCCACATTTTTCGTTGCGAGTTGTGATTTCTTCTTGCCTTTTTGTATTTATTTCAGAACTTTTGGATTATATATCCAATAATATAATTTATATTGCGTGTATGTGCAATTTCTTAAGTTATCATCATCATCATTATTGTTGCCAATCGTTGAGACTATATGTTTCGGCAAGCCCTACTATTTTCTCGCGCGTAACTTTTTGCTTTGTCTCGGTTGTCTCATCCGATTTGGATACCATTTTCTGGAACAATTCGGTCAGTGCTGTCGAAAAAAGTAAATGATAGTAAATGATAAGTACCATAATGCTTGTAGATTTGAGAGATTTATTTATAGTTGTAAATACTCGCCTGCTCGATTTTCATTTTCCAGAAATAGCAAGGCCACTTGGAATCGACCGACTTGACTTAAATGGTATAAAGTGTCGTACACGAGATCAATAGTATCACGTCTATAATACAAATAGGAATTTAATAAAAACTGGAGGATTCAAAAGCAAAAGACACGTAATTTTCGCTATTCTAAATACGTACACCAAATAAATATCCTTCAAAATAACAATAATACGTGATAGATAATCAGCTTCAAAAAATTCCGAAAACATGTCTGGAAAGGAGGCTGGCGGAATTGCCTATAAGAAATGATATGAATAAACAAATGTGTCTGGAAATCGAAATAAACACTACGTATTTGCAATTATTGTATACCTTTAAAAAGGCGTAACAACACTCGTCATCTTTTGAATATTTTCGCCATTCTTGTTCGAATTCTATAGCCGTACGTGGAGTTTTGATGTTTTCTAATAGATGCTCGGGTTTTTTTATCTGTTGGTGGTGGTCTATTACTACTGCTGCTGTTGGGATTTTTTGATCCTTTAAAGAGATTTTCGATGGGTTGATCGTGATGGCGTCTGGTACCTAAGAATTTATTTCAACATAAAAGTTATTAGAAAGATTGAAAGTGTGATATTAATATTATCAATATCTTAATATTTGCCTCAACAAATTTATCAAAGAGATCATCTCCCAAAGGAACCTTTGATTCAACCTCGGTCTGTTTTTTTAATAGTTCATTATTGGTGATGTTAGTTTTAGCGTCACCGCTATCTCGTAATATAGTGTCACGATCACTTTCATCATCTACTTCGACAATATCTAATCGGCGACGTGGGATTTTTCCCGCATCTTTTGATTCATCACGGGAGACACCAATGGATTGTTGCAAAGATATTTCAGTCTGAGAATTGGACTCTTCCGCCTAAATCAAGATATTCTTAAAATTGTAGAATTTTCACCATCATAACTAAAAAACAGCATCAAATAATATTACCTGAACAAATCCCTACCTTTTGCACGCCCAAAGCATTCAAAACCTTCTCCAATTCAATTTTTACCGCTTGATTGTTCGGATCTAATTCTAAAGCGTGATCTAAATCTTTATTGTGGTGAAAATTGATAGTGAAGATGGTAAATTTTCATCATGTATTTCTATAGAAGTTCAGCGATCTTTACCTTTTTTGGCCTCTTTTAGTTTATCTTGTTCCCGTCTGGCGATTCCTCGTCTCCAAAGAGCTTTCACATTATCTGGATGAAGCTGTAAGCCTGTTGTGCAGTCATTTTCAGCTTTATCCCATCTATATTTCATATGAACATGAGCAAAATTAAGCAAGGATGGAATGCAGAATAACAAGATAACAAAAAGTTTTAAATTTAAGAAGTAACTCACTCCCTCATTCTCAAATAAGCCATAGCTCGGTTTATCACGTACACAGCCTCTTTTGGGTCCAAGTCCATAGCCCTGCCATAGTACTCTACAGCTTTGGGATAATTGGCTCTTTTGAAGGCTTCATTGCCCTTTCAAATGAAATATTGACAGGTTTACAACAATGCAAAAGTCATTCAAAAATGTAAAGAAACTCAAACGCGTATTAAGAGGCACAATACCCGACCTGTTCCTTTTCTTGATGAGCTTTTTCTAGACGCAGCGTCTTTTTGCCCTTTCTGTCCGCTCCTGATTTGGGAGTTTGGCGAGTCGAGGACATTACTGGATGTGTAAAAAAGATTAAATCGGAGAATCATGAAAAGTATGAATCTACTCGTGATTTTGGTTGGTTGGTTGGAATTTATTATGCATATGTAGTCGCAATTTTCGTAGATACAGATACTATATTGACAAATAAAATGGATGAAAATGAAGAAAATGAAAAGGAGAATGAAAGTGCTTCCACGCACTTTTCTTCAAGTGTGCATTCAATGTCTCCACTCTTATTAGAATTTCAAAATAAAACTCGTCATAATAATTTATATCAATATAGGCACAACTCTTCGCCGCCACATTTCATAAAAGATAGCAATATCAATGCACAACCTTCTTTTCTTTCTATTCCCTCATTTTCTACATTTGAGGATGAAATTCACGCCGAAAATGAACTAATCTCACTTTCTCCTACAGAGTCTGTGCCACTTATAGAGCGGCCCAACACGCCAAACTATACACGCATGACTACACACTTGTCTCAATTGGAGCCGGATACCACTTCTTTATGGGGATGGATGCTTTTATTCGCCACTTTCATGATGTTTGTATCAAGCATGTATGCAATTGTGTTTAGCAAGTTTGTACCAGAAACTGGGAATAGAGTAGGTGTTCTTGTGTTCTTTTCTCTTTGCTGTTTACTTTATATATTAGATTTTAAACTGTTCGCTTATGTATGTTTTCTTGTAGACACTTGATTGGATAAAGAGAGATGAGTATTATTGCTTGCTTTTGCCAATTACTTTGTCAGTTACTGTTTATGCTGTATTTTGGAATTGGATGGGTATGAAATTTTTTAGACATAATTAGAATACATATAATCGCTTGGATATTAAAGTGGACTAGTAATTCGCTGTTTGCAAAAAAAAAATAAATCATGTCAAAGATAATAATTAAGAATCCGATATCATATCTGAGCCGGCAAAACAATTGAATGTGCCTATTATTAAGGCTCGATAGAGTAACATTTCGATATAGTAACACAAAATCCCTTGCCCTGATCACGTTACTATAACGAGCTTTGACTGTATATATTATCTTTTTTTGATGGTTGAATAACCACCTACAAATATGGTAGCACTGGTTTGTAGTTGAGAGACAATAGAAACTGTAAAATCTGGTTGCTTAACTCGACCTTCAAATTTTCTTGCTTTGCTTTCATTTAAAGCTGTATTAGGCCATCGGACAACGTGCTTATCGGGATTATCAAATTGTCCTTTCATAATACGATCAAGAAAATTGGTGTAATGTGTTATTTCACTGTGTTCGTTCCTTATTTTGAAGTAGGTAACGTTCTCAAGCAGCCCAAGTTAACGAAACCCAAGATTGCTCGCTTGAGAGTTTTCCACATAACCAATTAATAGCATTATCACGCGACCCATTCATTGCCATTTTAACTGCTTTTCTGAATGTTGCTTCAGAATTCGAATTTAATATTTATTGTTCTGGTGTAAATTTTTGATGAATTTCATCAGGCAAGGGCAATCCAAAGTGATTGGAATAGGAATCTGGGGCGAGTAATAAAATTGAAGATAACAATAATAAGTATTGTATGATCGAGGGTGCAGTCACATGATATTTCGATGCAATTTTTGATCGGCATCCAATAAGAATGCAGAAATTTTTGATCAAACCAACAAGAAATACGAAAAACATGAGAAACAGGTGTCTAATCTAGCTTGGAGTATTAATTAAAATGTTGGTGAAGCAATTTTATATATAATTTAAGCTCAGTTCTAATCCTAATCCTAATTTTAAAATTAATACTGATTATTGATAATGTTGAACTTTTGCAAAGAAGTATGATATGATCAGAAAATCACATGTATAATACTATGCTCTATATTCTAAGCCAATAGCATAATCTTTATCCATATTAGTATGATATGGATAACTGGATCAATATAATATGTATTATATATATTGTTACTCTGCTGACAGTTGATACTGACCGAACCTTTGCACACATTCAAGTATTCACATTGATAGCAGGAATTGTTAACGATAGTTGTGACGACCGATATACGAATTTTGTTGTTGAAGGAGTGACGATAGTTGGTGACGACGATAGTTTAGTTCTCAATTTTTCATCCACAGAGGGGGCACCAAAAACTGTCACCATTTTCAGAGTCATTTCCCATGATGATATTTCTGAAATATGGCGAGTGACTGTGTTCAATTGAAAGGTTGGACTACTGAACTATCAAAACTTATAA